CTACGGCGTTTGGCTGTGTACGACTTAATTAAAATGGAGTCAGGGCGCGGGGAGACGGTCACTTCGCTGTAAATTTTAAAAATAGATTGCATTTGTGAAAGGTATCTTCAATTTTTTGGCACGTGGTGAGAAGTTGTCTGAGGAAAAAGTCTTGTAAAAAGTAAATTATTGTCTTCAAGTTATTAGAAAGCAAAAACTCAATTCAATGCCATTTATTTTGGTATAGCCCTAAAATACATCCGCAGTCACAAGGAGGAATTTTCCACGTTTTGGATTAGAGAATCGAACCGTACGAACACATCAAATACAATAATGGTGACAATAATATAAAACACATAGAAAAAAAAGTCTAACAGTTGGTCATTTCTGGTCAATTTTGAGATGAAAGAGTTTATAGATTGTTTTGTTGTAACCCTTTAGGCCCTTTAAAGTCGACAATTTGCCGTATAGCTTAAAACCGTGACAAACAGGCAAGATTCATTCAAACTCCCTGTCACACAATGATTTACACTGTTTTACTATATTTCCCTGACCCTTGAGTGTGGTACAGTGTGAGTTTTGTGTGTGTTCATGTCCAAGCAATTTGTAGTTCTTGGCCGAAAATTTTTTTTATAAAAAAAACACCAAATGAAGTCATAGTATTCAAATAAATGTACCAATCTAAATAACTACATAAACTTTGGGCCGTACTTAAAACTTGTCTAATTTACTTAAAGCTTGTATCTTTTATCAGTTTAAAGTTATTAAGAAATGAAGATGTCAAAATTTTACTTCTCAGGAAAAAATCTCTGGCGCCTAAAGGGTTAAATGTGGTCGATGTGAAGCACTTTGGGCCAATTCTATTCTTTTTTTTTGTACAGCCTTAAATCACAACAGTAGCTATCTCTTTCAAAACCGTCAAATTCGCCAAAACAGATGAAAGAATCAAACGAAATGATGAAGAAAACATAGAGCTGTTTGTTCATGAGGGGCAGATGACCAATGTCCATAAAAGTTGGGGGAGAAAAGTCCATAAATGTCGTTAAATGTGGAGTGTCCTGCGTTTTGACTGATTGATTGATAGAATATTATGAGGCATCCATAGGTTTTCACATACTGTAATAGTCATTGATCTCTCCCCCTATGGAAGAATTTTACTTATAACTGAAGATTAGCACGTCACTCTCTGCTTTTTAATTCCCATTTCTCCCAGAGTGTACAATGGGCTGTTGCTTCACAAAATCCTTTCAGAAAACGCCATGCCAACAGCAGCCCGTCTGGCGTAATGATTGACAGGCTAATTTATGAAGAAGAAAAGAAAATCGCTTCAGTCTCTCTCTCTCTCTCTCTGCATCTCTGTCTCTCTGTGTCTCTCTGTCTCTGCCTCTCTCTCTCTGTGTGCGTCTCTGTCTCTCTCTGTCTCTATCTCTGCCTCTGTCTCTCTCTCTGTGGGTCTCTGCATCTCTCTCTGTCTCTCTCTTTGTGTCTCTTTCTTTTTGTGACTCTTTCTTTCTCTCTCTGCATCTCCCTCTCTCTGCGTCTTCCCTCTCTCAATCCCCATCTTTCTCTGCATCTTTCTCTCTCTGTCTCTCTGCGTCTCTCTTTCTCTCTCTCTGCTTCTCTCTCTCCCTCTCTGCGTCTCTCTCTCTCTCTGCATCTCTCTCTTTCTCTGCGTCTCCCTCTCTGCATCTCTCTCTCTGCGTCTCCCTCTCTCTCCTCCTCTCTCCCTGCATCTCTCTCTATCTGCATCTTCCTCTCCCCCCTCTCTCTCTACATCTCTATCTCCCTCCCTGCATCTCTCTATCTGCGTCTCCCTCTCCCCTCTCTCTCTCTGCATCTCTCCCTCCCCCCCCCCCCCCCCCTCTCTTTGTCGGAGCCGATTCGAGCCATCGCACTCCTCAATTAAGCCACGCTCTGCCAGACTGATGCTAACGGCTCCAGGAGGTAATGAGTGGCGGCCGCCCATCCGTCTTCCTCTCTGCGTCCAAACCAACTATTTGTCTCCTTCATGACCCTCCTCCTTTCAACTCTGTCAATCTCTCTCGCCGCTGTTGTTGTTTTTGCACGTCACTCAAGCTCCCAGACCCTTTAACAAACCTCTATCCACTCGTTTTTCGCCACAAAACAATTCGTTATATGACGATGTAAATGATCTGGACACTCAGCTAGAAAGTCCTGGGTTCAATTCCAACCTGCAGACAGGGCCTTTCTGATTGGAGTTTGCATGTTCTCCTCATGTATACACAGGTCTCCTCCGGGAGCAATAGTTTCCTCCGGGTGCAACGGTTTCCCCTATAAATCTTTATAATATATTATTGATTCAATAATATTCACAGAAAGTTCCTTGCAACATTGTGTGCATGTTTTGTTACAGTTAATTAGTGACGTTTACATTTGTTTCTGTAAAATCCCGTCACAGATGCATCGGGCAGGTCCCTGTTGACCGTTCCAAGGTCGAGGCTCCGGATGCAAGGTGCCCGAGCCTCTCTGTCCGGGCTCCTCGACTTTAGAACGACCTGCCCGAGGAGATAAGCCTCGCACCATAAATATCCTCTTTTAAATCTCTTCTTAATTTTGACTTCCCATTTTGTATTTTACTGTCTGTTTTGTTGTGTCTTGCCTTCCTGAATCTTCTTGTATCTGTGGGCAACAGTGGCTCAGTTGGTAGAGCATTGGCCTTTGAGACCTTCTCCACCGACTCCCACTGATGTCTGCTGTCCTTGGGCAAGACACTTAACCTACTTTGCCTATGTGATGGAAGTAATGTTCGCTGCTTACCTTGATGTGTATGTGTATATTTACTGTATATGTGTATGTATCAAACTGAAATAAAGGACCTTCTTCTACTCTATCTAATTATTTTGAATTAGTCCTATGACTGTTTCAGTGTCTATTTTGCTGAAATGCAGCGGTTTGTATACAATGTTTTTTTTAAAGTGCTCTACAAATAAATATCAATATTATTATTATGATCAAATAATCAATTGTGTACATATTTGCGAAGTGACTATCCATCCATCCAAATTAATCTCCTTCATCCATTCCCTGTGTTCCAGGTCCATGGATTCTGTGACTCCCCCACACTGAACAAAGCAATCAAATAATCAATAGTGTTAATATTATTGAATAGAGCAATAATTTACATCATTTCTCAGCTTATCATTATCTTTTCACTTCTTATCATAGAAGCCTTTTGCTGCGATGCCATTTAACACACATACTGTACATTATAAATCACACAAAAATAGTGGAGAAGTGGAATTATAAAAGCACATCTGTTGAAACATGGAAATCATGTTGAGTAATAAAAACTAAAGAACCATATTTCTATTGGAGCAAGATTCCAGTCATGAAATATTATTTTCTCAGAGTTTCACAAGGATGGTACTGCTAGGCAACAGCAGATAATAACGACATGGACAAGGATATTAGTCCGGGGCTTATTATTTCAAAATAACATAATTTTTTTGAGAGAATGTTTTGTGTCGTTGTCTTGCGTCTGATTAACATCAGAAAAAACATGCATGCTAAGTACATTATGCCTTGTCCTTGATCCTTTTCACATTCTATTACTTCTCTCTCACTGCCTTTTCATCACCGACTGAATCTCATTTGCAAAACCATGATAATAGACTTGGTACAGTGTAAACTTTGTGCCGGAGCCATATCAATATTACTGCTATTAGTTATAAAGTTATCATGTTATACAGATGATACGGTTTCAATGTTATTGTTATGTGATCATTTCTTGAACTTGACCAGTGTTGCCCGAACCTTTTTGAGCCGTGGTACACCTTTCTTACTGAAAACAATCACACGGCACAACACCAAAACCAAAATGAAACACAGCAACCTTTAATAACCATCATCAAAGTGTGTATATAGAAAATCAAACAAGGGCAAAAAGAAATCCTTCTAATCTTCTCTCTCTCTTACTTTTAATAGTATTTTAACCAAATAGGTGAGATTGGATCATTTCCAAAAGGTACACCAAAGATCTTCTCAAGGCACAATAACGTACCAAGGCCCACTAGTTGAAAAACACTGCCATAGACTGTATATAGGCGGACAATGCTAACCCTTGAGCTCAATGTAGCCCGATAGGGAAGTCCTAATAGACCAAGGTTTGCTCCAACGCGCCCTGGCTCATATGGACTAACATTGAAAAGTGAGCTACTCTAGTCACTGTTTGTGTCACAAAAATATGTGGTTTAGCACCGTTTTCGATCCTGGCGTTGGACATTTTGAAATCATATTTTTGAATCCAGCTCCAGGGAAACTCCAGCTTGCCTTATCAACCATCAACATGGAAAAACGCCGTCGGAACAAAGTTTGAAGTTTTAACACTGAAGGAGGATGGGGTACGCTCAAGGACATTTATCAATCAATCTACTTTATTCATAAAGCACATTTAATAAACACAGTTTCCAAAGTGCTGCACAAAAAAAGACTAAACTATTTACCAATTTGATCTTTGTGAACATATGATCATTTTCTTGTTGTTGTTTTGATAGCTTGATTTCTAAATTGTTTTTGGCCAATCAATACTGTAATTTAGTAGCATCTTTATACGTTAGACTGCTGTTATGGTGTTGGATGTGCAAATTGTTATGACCCTTATTATAGCTATTTTAGGATCCAAGGAGGCGTCTGCACCAGGAGCATGCAGCCACAGGAGACAACACAGGAGAGAGGAGGCCCCAGACCCCACCAGGTCCAAGAGTCAGACCCCCACAGCCACTGCAGACCAATGCTCTCAGTGCAGAGGGGCTCCTCAAGCTCCAATTCCTAATTAATGTAATTTATCTTCAAATCTATCTCCAAAGTGACTTGAAAAAGGAGTCCAGAATTCTCTATACAGCCCACGACTACCACACAATGAGATTCCTCCATTCTCCTGCATGAAAGCATTGAACTGTGGACACATCACATCGGCTCCATTCAATTTAGAAGTCAGGAGCACCGTCACAACAGAACGCCAAATCACTTGAACTGTCCGCGCTCACCAAACCACATCTGTGCTACAAAACAAACAAATGAATTGGAAGAAGCTCGGTTTTACTCGGCGAGAGCAGCGGACGGACTGACAGCAGCAGTTTAGGGGAGAAGGGAGGGATGTCGCTCACAGAGGGGACAGCTCTGACACTGATGGGTGACAGGGACTTAGACGGCGGCTTCAGAGCGAGGGGTGAGGAGGGGTGAGGAGGGGGGAGGCTCTGGACCCACAGATGAAGACTTGGACGCTGCAGAAGGTTGGAGCGGCTGGGATTGGAGGAAACTGCACATGAGAGTTATATTTACTTCTGTTGGTATACCATCATTTCCAGACTATTGGCTCTTACTTTTTTCTAGTGTTTCGAACCCTGCGGCTTATACCAATGAGGTTAATATTTGTATTTTTTGTCTTGTCAGAGCAGAGTTTATGGACTTGTGACTGCGATGGGCGACTCGTTTACTCAAAATAAGTGCTGAAAGCTAAAAGAGGTCACTAGTTAAAACAGCCGTTTATCTGCTACTTTTAAACACCTGCTGCGTATATTTAAGTGTGGCCTATATGTGGACAAACTGTACTTTATTTGACAATGTTACTGATGCAGCTTTTATACAGGTTCTAATAATCCAGAAACATACAGTAGTTTGTGTAATTGTTAGCCTGACTAACACCAGACTAAATATATAGGAAGTGATCAAGGGTTCTAAATCTTGTGTGTGAGGAAAGACTGTTGCCTGAAGTCAATTCCAATACATATCTCCTTGTATGGATAAAGAAATCACCTGCATTAATGAAACACCCCCATCTAGTGGTATAAGTGGGATAATAAACTGTTATTACATGAAACGTCTAACCAGCACACAGTTGTAAAGAATGTCATTTGATTGGAGAAATTCCCAACACCAATTTGGAATCAATACTTGTATTTTGAAAGACTGAATACAGATATGTCCTCTTCAGCATAGACTAAAAATCAATCCGTGCCAAAAACGATGATTATAATCTATGTACTCTCATCATATGGAGACGTTGGCAGAGGAGTGCTCCGCCTCACAGCAAGATTTTGGCTTCATTCTAGAAACCGGCCAGGACCTGTGTTAAGCTTTCTCCTGTTCCAACAACATTGGCTAACTCCTCCAGCTACACAGAGATTCTGAACAATCTTGGCTCCTCCATCTGCTGACAGTTTGCCAAATCCAATCCAATCAAACACGTATTTGTAAAGGCCATTCAAAAGCAGCCACAGCTTGCCATCAGTTCTGTTCAGACGAGTAAAAACACTAACAATAAAATACTAAAATAGAAATGCATGTGAGTGATTGTGTAGATACAGGGGCACTAGTTTGTCTCACCGGCACTAAAGGACTGGTCAATCAATAAAGTGTACCTTCTTTCAGCGGGTGTAACATTTTTCACACAAAGTAGGCCAACCAAAAAGAGTTCCACCACATCTAAATACAGTTCTAATCTACTAAGAATCTAAAACTGGACATTTATGATTATTATGAAGCTTACCCAACCATAAAGTAAGTCTATGGGATGTATTTTAGACTCTTCTTTGTATAATATAGACCCTCATGAGTATTTGATTGTAATTTCCCTATTGTGGAACTAATATTTCATACGTCCCACAATATTTTCATTCATTCATTTATTGTAGTGGCATCAGTCAAGTAATGTTTTGTGGCAACATGTTGAGGAAAGTGTTTAAAGAAGTACAGGAAACAATGCTGAGTTCTAAAAGGGAATCGCTCGACGTTCAAAAACACTAAATGCACACAGAAAGTAATTTTCTGACAGTTTAAACATTAACTCAGCAAGACAAAGAAACTGTCTCATATACAGTAGGCATAGAAGCTTTATCTCTAACTCCCTCTCTATGTGTCATATCTGCAAACACACCGCAGGCCGTGTGCTGACTGAGTGCTTGCACTGCAAGAAATGATCAAATATGAGACTGAAAAAGTGTTTTTTTAGTCTCATATTTGGGTGCGGGTTACAATTGGCAAATCTTGATTAAAAATTGATTTTTGTGTTTTTTGTAACTTCATTTTCATCACGTTTTGCAGTCTGATTAAAAGAGCAATATTGGGTAGTTTTGGAGGCAAATTTCTTTAAGATTCAAGAATGTATTTGTCATTTGCAGTAAAACCACATTAGACAAACTGTGCAAGACAAAGCACACAAGATATGGGCTTTCGTTGGAGTGTGCTCATTGCTATTCACCCGTTGTCCCATTGTCTGTTTGATGGTGTGACGATGGGACCTCTGAACCCGGCCCCCTCCTACACATAGGGACTGCCCCGCCCGACCCACTGCTTCAGTCCTGCACCAGACCTGTCCACCTTGATCCTCGTTCTGTAGCTTAGGTCCTGGATCTACAGCCCATCCGATCCTTCTCTCAATGTGGATCTCCCTGAGGTTTCTCACTTCTCGCTGGGTTTGTGAGTTTGTGAGACAGTTAGTGTCTAACAAAAAGGACTGTGGTGATGATCCAGGAAAATTCTACAACATGTATGGACATTTATCAACATTCATGGACATTGGTCAACTACCTATGGAGCAATACCATGTGTTCTATATTTTTTGTCTTTCAACTGTTCTATTATTTTCTGATCTGTTTTGACGATTACAACAGGTTTGTGGAGTTCTCTGAGATGACTGATGTTGTGATTTAGGACTATACAAGAATAAATTGAATTGAATTGAATTGCAGACATGACTACCTACTCACCATTGCAGGACCAAATGCAATCTAAGGTGTTACTAAGGCAAGCTGGGGTATCTCACTCATCATTACTGAACTAGACAAGTTTACTTTTCAATGTAACTGAATGGCGAATGCAAGTTGGAGAAAAACTTCCTATCAGTTGAGCTTGTGGGTTAGCATTGTTGAGCTAGTGGGTTAGCATTGTCCGTCTGTATCCCTGCATTATCATGTCTGACCACTTTAACAACTAGCTCAAGCTTGGCAAGATGTTGAGTCAAATCTGGAATACATCCATCTTTAAAGGTATGTAGGACGATTTTGCCACAAGTCCCACCTCTCTGTAAAAATGCCTTATGACTGACTAAATCTGACCGAGCAATATCCAAATGAAACGAGTAGTCAACACATACAGTATTAGTCCCACTTGTCATTTCACCAACTCTTTCCCTACATTCTTCACAGTATAGTTATTGAAAGCGTGGAGCAAATATATTCTAGATGCACCATGTTTTGCTACTGTATCACTGCAAACTCACAGTTCCAAAATATTATCTATTTCTTTACAGCATTTTCCCAGGACAGACCAGAGGGAAGAAAGCACGACTGTTGCCAATCTTCCCAAACAGCCTCAACACACTGCCTTTTCTGCTACCTCATAATAATCCCCGGGAAATACCACCTCCTCCCATTGGGCTGAACAGTTAATTGTATCTACTCCATCCACGTAATAGAGCAGACTTTTGCACCGGTCTGGCACAGGCAGTGGCTCCATACTCGCGGATATGGCCCATAATGCTCTGGTCTCGATGGGATACAGTGTTTACACCAGGAGCGCGTCGTGGGCGATGTCTGGCGAGACTTCACACTTTGCCGTTAACAGCTGCTGGAGAGGAAATGAGCAGGGATAAAAATACGTGGATCCAAGTATTTAATCCTGCATGTGCTGGGAAGGCCAATAGATGTGTTGAACAGAATGTATGAGTAAATGCACAGTCAGAAACATCCACTGGCAAAAGTAAAAACATGAAAAAAAAAGCTTACTTCAAGGGATTTTTATCTCGGATTTTCCAATGGGACAAAAAGGCATTTAGTCTTTTTTCAAGAACTGTTGCCATTTTTTTTCTCATTCCAATGAAGATGTTGCTTGTATCATTTTGCTTTGTCCCATTGGGAAATCGTGTTTTAAGGCAGTGAACATTTGCTCAGATTAAGACACATTTATCAACATTTGAGCAATTTTTAACTTCATCATTTTTTGCAGTGGGAGGATGTGGAGTATGGAGCTCTCTGAGTGAGTTCACGGTGGAAAAATAAAATATGATTGGGCAGTAAAACGATTCTCATGTTTTTGAGTCTGATCCTTTACTACTTGAAATGTCAGATTTAATTTGAGAAAATGTTTCATCCAAATCCAATGAACGGTGCAGAAAGTTAGCCGTATATGAGAGCGCTACAAGTTCCTCCAAATTATTCATTTATTTTCCTACAGTTTTTTCTTTAGCAAATGAAATATAAAACTCAATCAGTTTCATATCCCATGATCAACTTGGCCATTCTACTTCTTTGACTGATAAAAACTGGTCACATAGGGCAGTGGTCCCCAACCTCCAGTCTACAGGAGATTTACAAACGCAGTGTAAAGAGAGTGGCGGGTGGAGGGGTGTATGAGGCGTCTTTGTGCAGCTTTAACACGAGACGGGTTGATTCAAGCTGAAACTATGATGACCATGACCGATGGACATAATAATAATGCATCGGTTTTATTTAGCGCTTTTTTAGAAACTCAACGACGCCTCACATGTCATTATTCATTTACTACATACACGGTGGTGATAAACTACTACTGTACCCACAGCTGCCCTTTGGGTGAAGTGTCTTGCCTAAGGACAGAACAGCACTTTCCAGCTGCTGCCGCCCCTCTGTGGAGCAAGGAAATGCAACATTGAGACTTGTCCTGCCTAACCCTTGCGGAAGACAATAAATAAAACTCACATATCGTTTGATACATAGTTTTCTGCCAATGGTTTTGTGGGAATTCTGTGTCATGTCATTTTCTTCCTCTTTATTAATCAATTTTTGGCCATCTGAGCTGCCACACAAGTCTCAAAGCAACAGGCCAGAAATCTGTGTGTTTTGCATATTCTACCCTTGTCGCCTGGATAAGTTGAGTTGGACATTGAAGCTGGACTATACCACATTAATGCTAAAGACCGGTGTCAGAAAACCGTAAACTTTGCCCACGTGGCCACATTCTCAATACTGTCAGAATGAAAAAAGTTCATATTGTGCATATGGATGTCATGCGGTTATGTACGAACTACAGCAATGTGCTGTTTTATTTTTTTCTCGAGGAAGGGTCTGGGGGGTGGGGGTGTAGTGGTTAAGGGTTTTGTCAGTCCATGCAATTATCGCTTGACGTTAAACCGGTCCGTGGCACTAAAAAGCTTGGAGATTGCTGACATGTACCGTAAAGAACTGTCCAATGAAAGAATTGGATGATAATGAGAAAGACCATATCTCCCTAAAAACACTTCAGAATCCACCCTTCTGCTTTTGTCTGCGCCAACAATATAATTAAACCGTGTCTTCAATAAATACAAATCCGTCATCAGGCAACACAGGAGAATACAGAGCATGGGGAAAAAACAAACCTTCAGCTGACTTTTTGGATTCACGGTTTAGCCAAAAACTACTTCCACTTGCTCAACTCTCCTCATTGCTCAAAAACATCTCATTTAGCATCTCTGTCACATAACATTTCTGCCAGAGACATGAAACGCCAGGGATTCAAAGTGAGACTCGGCGAGGAGGTAGAAAGGCAGAGACCCGAAAAAAAGAAGAGGATCCCCAACATAAATAAACCATCAGCCTGTTTGAAGGCGGCATCTGGGGGTCACGGGGGGCCAGGTGAGTCAGGGTTGGAAGAGGGGAAAGAGGCTGGAGGGAATCCTAATGTCTGCCCAGAACGGAAAACACCATTGCGTCATTGGCTTTAGTGACGCAACTGCAGCCCAGAATAAACAAGAATGAAATTTGATGATCAAAACAGCAGCGTGAAAGGCAAGGCAAGTTCATGTTGGGCCATAAAGTCATTTGAAAAGCGTAAAAGAAAGCAATACACTGCAAAAAGTGATGAAAAATAAGTTGTAAGCTGCTCAAGTTTGGCAAAAAGTTTCTTAATTTGAGCACATTCTGACCCACCAAACAACTGGGACAAACAACATGTACTGTATCTTGTTTTAAAAAGATCCAAGAAATGTCTTCCTTGGAATGAGAAAAAAAGCAACAGTTCTCGAAATGATTGTCCCATTGGAAAATAATGTTCTCAAATTAAGACAAAGGCATAAACTATCGATTCAAGCATTTATTACCTCATATTTAATCATTTTTGTAGTGTACTTGTAGACACACTTAGCCAATGGGGAACTTGCAAATACCCACCAACCTTTTTTCCCCCAACAGCACTGGGCCTTTTGTAACGATAGCTAGTGGCTACGCAAGATCTGACTTTGGCTATTAACGGAATAGCAGTGTAGTGAGCAGAAGAGGGTGGTTCGGCAAGGAGCCTGAGGTGCACATAAAGACAACCGATATCTACGTGATAAAGAATTGTATTATAATAGTCCAACAGATGAAATATTATTGCACACAAAAAAAAACAATACACCAGATTGCAGGTGTATGGAAAAAAACAGGTTCCACCACAAAGTCTGTAGGTAAAAGTCCAACAAAAAAAATGCTTGCTAACTTGCAAGGCTATTTAAGTTCCGCTCAAGGAGGATGAAAAGAAAAGTAATCCACAAAAAGCGTGTAGGAAGCAATAGACAGTTTGTCCTACCGCGTCGTTGTCTAGCTCGCCATTTGTTGAGTCGTGGTGTAGAAAGGCTCAGTTCATTGGGTTAGTCCATCCCATTACAAAAACCTGACCTGAGGCCAAAAACATAAATAAGTAACATTGCATTAAGGCTATACAAGGATTGGTATAACATCTTTTGTTATACAGGTTATTCTATTTCTAATACTAATACACATAGTATTAATAGTATACATAATAATCATGATTTCTCAGAAAAATTAAATGTATGAACACTAGTTCATCAGATCTACCGAAAATAACTCATTAAACAAGGTTGTAGAAGTGCACTAAAATATCTTTCACTAATCATCAATAATTGACATTAAAAATATGAATGATCAGTAATCCTGTTTTACGTCATAATACTCAAGCAGAGTTGATAAATAAAAGTGTTGCGCAACAAACAATAAACACACAGACGCGTCTCATTGGAGCGCACAGTAACTCCATTAATAATATGCTGACTGCCCTTAAGAGCCTGCAAAAGTAAGACAGCATATTGGGACCACAGATCCAGTTAAACATGTCCTAAACTAAAGAGTTGCCTAACAATACGGCTTATTGATAAAAAGGAAAAGAGCGGGTTTACCTGAGTAACTTGGGGCAAACACGACACACCATGCATGGCCCGCTACTTAAAAGAACATGGCGGCTCTATGGGAGAATGGCATCACATTAGCGACTATGCTAAAACGTCTCAAAAACAGTACTTAGCGATCTCTTATAAACAAATGCATTTAGGATTAGGCTTCTTCGGCCATGGCAAAAGACTCACCTAATTATGAAGTGTCAATAATGCGCGATTGGAGAGTTTCAGCAAGTCTACTCTCACATGCCGTCTGTCAATGCTGCAGCCACAACGGAGACGGGAGGGGGGAGGAGATGCGCGCAGCTGATAGTTAAAGAGACGGGCGCTTTTGGGGGAAGTTGGCTTACAAAATAAAAGTCTTTAAGACACTAAAGCCGTTTCAGTTAAGCATGTTAATCATGGTAATGAAATGCGGGTCACAGGTTCCCCCCCTATACTCATGTTCGGCCTCGTACATGGAGATGGCTGGCGGCACAACACTCTGCCTTGGGGAGTGGTTGTGGATCCAGCCTCCTCAATTTGCAAAGCAGACGCAATGACAGTGTTCAATCCTTGGAACAGACTCTGAATACTACGCATTACCGGATTTCCAAGTCTCGAATATTGCAGCCGATCGGGAGGTTGCCGGGTTCGAGTGGGACGTTGGGGTCGTGGTTCAGAGTCTGGACTGGACACGTCGGATACAGAGGGTGACTCTGGCTCACTGGATATACAGGGGGGTACTAGTGCTTGAGGAGAGCCTGACGTAGAGGAGGTTGGTTCCTCTGGCTGCTCCAAAGCATCAGTATCCCTCTCTGGCACTAGCTCAGGTTCCGGATCAACAGGAATTTCAAGTGCACCCTCCAGATCTGACACCACACCAACAGAATCCTTTTCTGGAGTACTTGGGGACAGCTGGCCAGGCTGTATCACTGGTACCGTGACAGGGACTACTGGAGGCAAAGAAACAGGTAAGTCAATCACATGTGTGAATTTCGCAGGAGGGTAGTCGGTATCTGGTAAGTTAGGTAGATACACATCAGAAAGATCATATTCAGTTTCAGATTGTTGAACTTCGGAGGCACGTGGGGTTGTCGGTTTGGTGGACAACACTGGCTGTTTCGGATTGGTTGGCTTGGAAGCTGTTTGGGCGGTTGACAAATAGCCACAAGGCAGCAGTAAATCGCGATGTAGGGTCCTTAGGGGTCGATCTTTTCCCTCTGGTTTGACAGTATATACCGGAAGAGTGCCGGCTCTCTTTTCGACAATATATACGTCTGGTTCCCACTTGTCTGCGATCTTGTGCTTGCCTCGGAGCTTGACGTTCCTAACAAAACTCTATCCCCCACCGACAGTTCGGAAGTAGTGACTCGCTTATCGAATCTAAGCTTGTTTCTCTTCATAACCTTCTCTGCATCAGCAGACGCAATACGGTAGCTTTCTTTGAGATGGGACTTTAGCTTTTCAACATACTGTGAATGGGAAGTAAACTGGTTCCCAGACACTGTGAGGCCAAAGGCCAAGTCAACAGGCAAGCGTGCCTGTCGGCCGAACATTAGTTCATAAGGGGAGTAGCCAGTAACATCATGGCGGGTGCAATTGTAAGCATGCACCAGAGGCTTAACAAAGTCTCGCCAATGAACTTTTTCCTGATCCTGCAGGGTGCCCAACATGTTCAGGAGCGTGCGATTAAATCTCTCCACGGGATTGCCACGGGGGTGGTAAGAAGTGGTTCTAATCTTGTGGATTCCCATTATCTGACAGAGCTCTTTGATGGTATGTGATTCAAAGTCTGGCCCTTGGTCGCTATGGAGTCTTTCCGGTATTCCATAGTGGACCAGGAAGTTGTCCCACAGGGCTTTAGCTACTGTCTTCGCTCTCTGATTGGGAGTTGGGACCGCCACAGCATACTTGGTGAAATGGTCAGTGATGACAAGTACGTCTTTCGTATTGCTCCGATCTGGTTCGATGGAAAGAAAATCCATACAGACAAGCTCGAGCGGTCTCGAGGTTCTGATGTTTACAAGAGGTGCGGCTCTCTCAGGTAATGTCTTTCTCCGCACGCATCTCTCACACGCCTTGATCTTATTGTTGACATCAATGGACATCCGTGGCCAGTAAAAGCGTGATCGAACGAGGTCGAGTGTTCTTTCTGTGCCGAGATGGCCCATTTGATCGTGCAGCTGGAAAAGGACCTCTGATCGACACTCCTCTGGAAGGACGAGTTGGTAGGTGGGCTCACCGTTGACATTCCTTTTTCTGACTAGAATGTCGTTTTGAAGCTCCAGACGTGTCAACTCCCTCATGAGCAGTGGCAGATCTGGGAGTTGTTCCCTCAGAGAAGGTGGTGGACTATCTCCTCTTTCCAACTGGACAATGAGGTGCTGAATAATGGGATCTGCCCTCTGTTTAGCCGCAATCTCAGCATTAGAAAAGGAGACCATGACCTGTGAAGAGAACTGCAAATCGTTAACAAAACTGTCTGGCAGACTCTCAACACTAATGGCCAGAGCTTGGACATATGCTGCACTTTGTTGCTTGTCGGGCGTGCTGTACACAAGTTGCCGGTCACATATTGCCTGGACTGATTGCTCATCAATAGAGACACAGGATGGACTGTCTAGATGTTGTTCAGTGAACCTCAGGATCCTCTCTTGCTCCTTTTGGGACAGAGGGTCTTCTGGGAGTTGTCTATGAGGTCGCCGAGAGAGTCCATCTGCGTCAGCATTCAGCCTTCCTGCTCTGTAGACAATCTTGAAGGTGAATGTAGAAAGCGCAGCAAGCCACCTGTAGCTTGTTGCGTCCAGTTTGGCTGTTGTTAGCAGGTATGTGAGCGGATTACTATCGGTAACAACAGTGAAAGTCGAACCGTATAGGTAGTCGCTCAGTTTTTCCGTCACTGCCCACTTCAGGGCCAAAAACTCCAGCTTATGAGCTGAGTATCGGGCTTCACTGCGCGACAGCCCTCTACTGGCAAACGCAACCACTCTGTTGCGTCCTTCATGCTCTTGGTACAACACTGCCCCAAGACCAGTAGAACAAGCATCTGTGTGCAAGATGTAAGGTTTGCTTGGGTCTGCAAACGCAAGGACTGGGGCTATAGTGAGCTTTTGGATTATGGCTTCAAAAGCCTCTTGACAAGCGGACGTCCAGCGTCCCCCAAAGTTCTCTTTTGGGTCAAGATAAGGCTGGGTCTTAACTGCCTGTTTTGCCCTCGTTTGACTGGGAGGATAACCAGAGGTTAACTCATTGAGGGGTCTGACAATCGAGGAGTACCCCTCAACAAACCTCCGGTAATACCCTGCGAAGCCGAGGAATGACCGGAGTTCTTTAAGGTTCCGCGGGATTGGCCAAGATTTTAATGTGGCTATTTTGCTGGGATCCGTTTCTACACCATTACAAGAGACTACATGCCCAAGGTAACGCACAGATGTCTGAAAGAAGACACACTTTTCAACTGACAACTTTAATCCGTACTCCTTCAAACGTTGCAGAACCTTCTTGAGCCTTCGTTCATGCTCTTCGAGTGTCGGAGCAAAGACAATCAGGTCATCGATAAAGACAAGTGCTTCCTTCAAGTTCCCCATGCAACGCTCCATGAGCCTTTGAAAAGTGCTCGGTGCGTTTGTTATGCCTTGTGGCATGCGGTTGAATTCGTAAAACCCAAGTGGGCAGACGAACGCAGTCTTGGCCTTGTCTCCTTCTTCCATCTCTATTTGGTAATATCCGGACTTTAAGTCCAATACCGAAAACCAAGTAGAGCCCGACAAAGCCGCAAAAGTGTCCTCTAGCTTGGGTAGAGCATAAGCGTCCTTGATGGTTTGTGCGTTCAGCTTCCTGTAATCGATGCAGAGCCTCACGGTGCCATTCTTCTTCCTCACAACAACTATTGGGGAAGCGAAAGGTGAGCTTGATTCACGAATGACGCCGGACTCTAGCAGTTCTTTGATATGCTTGCGAACAGCATCTACATCTTGAGGATGGATGGGTCTGGGTCTTTGTTTTAGAGCAGCTGGATCAGACAAGTTGATCTCGTGTTTTACCTTGTCTGTCCGCCCGAAGTCGAGATCATGTTTTGCAAAGACCTCCGGTATGCTGTCGAGCACGGCAATTACACGAAGCTTCCACTCAGGTGATAAGGGTGAGTCACCAAAGTTGTATGGAAGCTGTGGAGGCTCTGCAGAATCTGAAAGCTGAGGTACACTTTGCTCTTTATTGAAAACTGAATGGATGGCACTTATTTCAGCGATGGGTGCTCTAGCAGGGAGTACAATGTCATGGTCTGACTCATTCGTGGCTACCACTGGCAACCGGGCAGGTTGGACAGGGGGTAAATCAACAAGGCAGGACTGCACAATCAGACCACCTGGCAGAGAGAACGAGGCTGGATGTTGGATAAGAACCTCTCTCTCGCCTTGCAGAAAAAGAGAAACTCCCATTGTGTCCAACACAAGGGTTTTCCCTGCCGAGATTGTCATGGGGACAGAGGACTGCAACCTTAATACCCCGTGGTGGTCATCAGTGGTCATATTGTGCCGTATCTCCAGTATTTTTAGTACTGCTTTGTATCCAAAGGGCACTGGATGGAAATGTGCAGTCATCTTACAGTGATTGTCATAGACTGTGTCCAACGTATTCGTTCCGACAAGAACAGGGGGTTGTGAAGATCGTAGGTCAGGAACGACCAACGCAAGAGTGTCAACGTCCATCTCTATTCCGACAAACTCTTCAGGAAATGTCATTCCGATCTCCACATAACCAATGTAAGGCACACTCTGTCCATTGGCGCCCTCTACCTCCAGAAGATTGTTTAAGGGTTTTATTTCATGGTCTGTGAGGTAGGTATTGTAAAATGAATGAGAGACTGTTGTGACTTGGGAACCCGTGTCAAAGAGGCAGTTAAACTTTGTTCCTTTTATTGTGACCTCTCCAGTGCTTCTGGTTCCCACAAGGCCTTTTGGTAACGAAGCCTGAGGAGAAGACTGCTTCGTGTGGGGACAATGGTTGTTGGCAGCTTCCACTTGTCCCTGCGAGGAAGCTGCATTCAGTTTAACGGCTTGCGCCTCTCCCAACACTGCTGCTTGTCTTCGAGTTGCTTTCGTTTAGTTTCCACAAGAGCAGGATTTGGACCATACGTACAATTTGGAGAAATATGACCATCCTGGCCGCATTTGAAACAGAACCAGGGTTTGGGTTTGCTGCTCTGCCTTGGTTTCTGGGTATGATCTGTTGTTGCAGAGTTCTGTGACTTCTTTGACAGCAGAGCGGCCATCTGGCTTTGCAGTTTCTCCATTTGCTTCCTCAAATCCTCGATAGCGCTTGTGTCCAGGGAGTGACCACATGAACAGGCTGTAGTGCTATGAGTTTGGAGATTGGCAGCTCGATGCTTGACTGAAGGAAGGTGTTTCTTCATGAGAGTCTCTTTTGCGTACTGCCGATCTTCCTCTGTTCGAAGCATCAACAGCAAATCAGCAAAGGAGGGTGGTCGGTCTTTTTTTTGTTCCAGTTGCAACTTGTTGATAACAGCGTTGTCCCAGCAGCCTCTGCAAAATTGTTTAAGCAGGTGTTTGTCTTTATCAGCTGCAAGGATGCCACCTCTCTTTATTACAGCGCTTATGTTCAATTGAAGTCTTTGCAAATATGATGATGGTCTTTCTCCCGGGTCTTGGAAAGTGTTGAGGAACTTTGCGAACAACTCCTCTCCATCCTCGACTGTGGCGTATGCTGAATCCAGAACGTGCAAGAACGCGGCAGGGAGGGAATTTGGTTCCAAATGTCTGATTAGATCTGCCGCAGGGGAAAACAGACTCTCTATTATGCGTCTCGTAATGTGTAAAGGAGCGAGACTTGGATCAGCACTTAAAAGGTCTATTTGCGTTTTCCAAGACTCATAGTCTGCCTCATGAGGGGGTTTTGGGACTTTCCCTGAAAAGGTGCGCAGTCGTAATGGGGATAGCGACTGGGGGTTTACATCATCCCTGCGTACAATATGTTCCACTACGACTCTTTGCACGTCAGGGGGGTTCAAGTCATGGCCAGACAGTGAGATCCTTGGGTTCATAGTTGGGTTACGACGACCCCTGACCGTATATAGCAAGCCTGCACTCTCACCATCTCCGGTCCCGACTCCTTCCTCCTCATCATCATCGTCATCCTCCTCATCATCATCTTCCTCCTCCTCCTCTTCGTCTTCGTTCTCTCCGCCAGCGGCTCCGAGATGAGAGCTAATCTGGTCCATAGCTCCTTTTAAAACAAGCTCGAATGGTCGGCCGCTCTCCCGGGAAAGGCGTCTCAGAACCTGAAGGTAGTCCACGGATTGGGACTGGGGCTCTGGGTTTTCCGTTGTGGCTGCAGCACCCGCATCTGAAATCTGTCTGACAGTGACTTCTATGGTTGCAGCACGCGTAGTATAAGGCAATAACGGTTTTAGTTTGTCTACGCTTACACTGTCAACAAACTCGACGGCCAGGTTTTTGTAGAAGGGACTCTGCCTGTCAGCTACAGTAACGTACCTTTTGATGTCACCGTACCCTTTCAGAGTATCAACAATGTCTTCCTCTACTTGAGTATTTGTTACACCACTGACAGCAACTGTATGAGCAACATTCATACCAATTTTTTCAAAGTAATCCATTTCTCAACTCAACAAAAAAATCCAAGGGAATACACACACACACAATCTAACAGCTGTACAAATATTACATACACTATCAGACTCCTGGCTAGCTTGCCATTTGTAACGATAGCTAGTGGCTACGCAAGATCTGACTTTGGCTATTAACGGAATAGCAGTGTAGTGAGCAGAAGAGGGTGGTTCGGCAAGGAGCCTGAGGTGCACATAAAGACAACCGATATCTACGTGATAAAGAATTGTATTATAATAGTCCAACAGATGAAATATTATTGCACACAAAAAAAAACAATACACCAGATTGCAGGTGTATGGAAAAAAACAGGTTCCACCACAAAGTCTGTAGGTAAAAGTCCAACAAAAAAAATGCTTGCTAACTTGCAAGGCTATTTAAGTTCCGCTCAAGGAGGATGAAAAGAAAAGTAATCCACAAAAAGCGTGTAGGAAGCAATAGACAGTTTGTCCTACCGCGTCGTTGTCTAGCTCGCCATTTGTTGAGTCGTGGTGTAGAAAGGCTCAGTTCATTGGGTTAGTCCATCCCATTACAAAAACCTGACCTGAGGCCAAAAACATAAATAAGTAACATTGCATTAAGGCTATACAAGGATTGGTATAACATCTTTTGTTATACAGGTTATTCTATTTCTAATACTAATACACATAGTATTAATAGTATACATAATAATCATGATTTCTCAGAAAAATTAAATGTATGAACACTAGTTCATCAGATCTACCGAAAATAACTCATTAAACAAGGTTGTAGAAGTGCACTAAAATATCTTTCACTAATCATCAATAATTGACATTAAAAATATGAATGATCAGTAATCCTGTTTTACGTCATAATACTCAAGCAGAGTTGATAAATAAAAGTGTTGCGCAACAAACAATAAACACACAGACGCGTCTCATTGGAGCGCACAGTAACTCCATTAATAATATGCTGACTGCCCTTAAGAGCCTGCAAAAGTAAGACAGCATATTGGGACCACAGATCCAGTTAAACATGTCCTAAACTAAAGAGTTGCCTAACAATACGGCTTATTGATAAAAAGGAAAAGAGCGGGTTTACCTGAGTAACTTGGGGCAAACACGACACACCATGCATGGCCCGCTACTTAAAAGAACATGGCGGCTCTATGGGAGAATGGCATCACATTAGCGACTATGCTAAAACGTCTCAAAAACAGTACTTAGCGATCTCTTATAAACAAATGCATTTAGGATTAGGCTTCTTCGGCCATGGCAAAAGACTCACCTAATTATGAAGTGTCAATAATGCGCGATTGGAGAGTTTCAGCAAGTCTACTCTCACATGCCGTCTGTCAATGCTGCAGCCACAACGGAGACGGGAGGGGGGAGGAGATGCGCGCAGCTGATAGTTAAAGAGACGGGCGCTTTTGGGGGAAGTTGGCTTACAAAATAAAAGTCTTTAAGACACTAAAGCCGTTTCAGTTAAGCATGTTAATCATGGTAATGAAATGCGGGTCACACTTTCATTGAGTGTGGTAATTTAGTGATTTCATGACACTTTGAAGCATCTGTGGTTAAAAATCTAACTCATCATTCTAACATTATGCACGAGGCAGTACTTTTCCATTACATGCATTGGTTATATCAAGGTTGAAGCTGCTGGAGCTGTAGCGATAGCTTTTAGGAGGTCGCCATTCCTCCGCTGTATAATATCACATGCATTCTGTAACATATTTGTTCGTGCTGTCTCTACCATCGACAATAAAACATGTCTTCTGTCTGAATTAAAGACACAATCCCAGACTTTGTCATTTTCTTCAGCTGGTGGAGAATATGGGCATTGTCTGAGGAACCAACATCTACAGAACAGAATACTTTTTTTTTTTAAGGAAAAATTGAAAATTGAAAAGAGAAACCATGCATCTGGACCAGCACACTTGGACAATCTGCACAGCCCTTGATTCCAATCAGGCTGTGAGCTGCTGAGACATGGACAATACCATCGTCTTTGAGAAATGGCTTTCTTCTGTTGTGCAGTGCACGACTGATTGTTGTCCTATGGACAGACTCTCCCACCTCAGCTGTAGTTATCTGCAGTTCATCCAGAGTGATCATGGGCCTCTTGGCTGCATCTCTGATCAGTCTTCTCCTTGTTTGAGATGAAAGTTTGGAGGGACGGCCGGGTCTTGGTAGATTTGCAGTGGTCTGATACTCCTTCCATTTCAATATAATTGCTTGCACAGTGCTCCTTGAGATGTTTAAAGCTTGGGAAATCTTTTTGTATCCAAATCCGGCTTTAAACTTCTCAACAACAGTATCTCGGACCTGCCTGGTGTGTTCCTTTGTCTTCATGGTTCTCTCTGCGCTTTAAACAGAACCCTGAGACTATCAAAGAGCAGGTGCATTTATACGGAGACTTGATTACACACAGGTGCATTCTATTTATCATCATCAGTCATTTAGGACAACATTGGATCATTCAAAGATCCTCACTGAACTTCTGGACTGAGTTTGCTGCACTGAAAGTAAAGGGGCCGAATAATATTGCACGCCCCACTTTTCAGTTTTTTATATGTTAAAAAAGTTTATATTATCCAATAAATTTTGTTACACTTCACGATTGTGTCCCACTTGTTGTTGATTCATGACAAAAAATATTTTTTTTATATCTTTATGTTAGAAGCCTGAAATGTGGCAAAATGTTGAAAGGTTCAAGGGGCCGAATACTTTCGCAAGGCACTGTAATATCACTTGCATTCAGTAACATCTTTGTTTGTGCTGTCTCTACCATCGACAATAATAAAACATGTCTTCTGTCTGATATACACAATCCCAGACATTGTCATTTTCTTCAATAAGTAAGTCATCTTTAATTATATAGCACATTTCACAGACCAAAGTCACCCAAAGCACTTTACAATATTTTTGGAGTTCAGATATTTTACAAAAGCGAGACACTCACTCATTACATTCACACCTATTGCATGTCATGTTTTTAGCGGTAGACAAAAACCGGGGCACCCCGGAGGAAACCTACACAGACACAGGGAGAACATGCAAACTTCACATAGAAAGGCCTGGAGCTGGAGTCCAATCCCAGGACCATCTTGCTGTGAAACACAAGCTCTAACAGCGTAAATATATTCTATTAGTGGAAGATTCCTGAAAGTAATTGCCTTGAGTCACGAAAGACAAAAAACATGGACCATTTGGCTCGAGTAGAACGGATATGCTAAAACGGATAGAATTATGAAGTTTCTTTTGTATGAAAAGTAGTTTAAGCACTAAAAAGATTAAATTGATGGGCATTGTTTGTTAAATTGTTTCAAGACGTTACTCAAAATCAAAGGACACGACAATTCCTCTTCAACAGGAGTCACAAGTAGTGCTTATTATAGAATATTTATAACAATAGAAAAACATTTAGAAACAAGTATTTTTTCCTAGTCTCCCGCACAATAAAATGTATTTATTTATTTATTTATTTGAATGGGACAGTGCATGTCAATGAACAGACATTAAAAACATGAATGTAAACATGCCAGATTATAGCCAAAGGCTAATTTCCATCTGTAGTCCCATAGGGTCAGGGTCACACGGGTCAAATGCAGCAACATTAACAGAAACAAGAGGAAAATGTCTAATACACACATCAGATTATTGCACACATCCCGTTAATACACACGACTCATTATTGCACACATGTCATTATTGCACACATCTCATTATGGCACACATGTCATTATTGCACACATCTCATTATTGCACACATCCCGTTACACACATCTCATTATTGCACACATCCCGTTATTTTACACACCCCATTACTGCATAACATCCTTGCATTACAGTCAACCAAAACTACACATGTCCTATTTGCAAACAAACCCTATCGCATGTTCCCCAACATTATTAATGGTTGCATGTTTGAGGCGACCTTAACCACTCCTTTAGGAGACTTTTAAATGAAGTAAAACTAGGGGCCTCTCTTACAGAAGTCGGCAAAAATACGTGAGCTTTCAACCATAATAACCGCGATGGCTCCACTAATAATCCATATTTGTTCTATTCTACTGCGAGTGATTTCAAAGCACAAAAGCACAGTGGAAGAGGTCTGGATGTAAGCACAAAAGGAAACAAGAGCGTGCTAATGGCAGCAAGGTGGAAAAACAAACATTATTCCAGACATTAAACTCACCAGCAGCAGATTGGCCCGCGGCTCTATATTAGCACTTATTAGCCTCCTGCTCTGCTCTTTCCCCGGACGCTCTGCTCTTCACATACCAAGAACGTACACTGGGAAATATGTGCAATGCAGTTTAGTCAATTGGATCAAGCCCCAGAACTTGACATGGGAGAGTCCAGCATGTCACTGCACCAAGATGTCTGTGTGGAGCCGAGTCTCGTGCCCTGGACTTGATTTTAACTCGATTGGAAAGTTTGTCTTTAGATTCAAGCTACACCTGTCCTTAGCTTGTGTCTTTTTCTGGATCAAAATGAACCCATGAGAATTACCCTGTGAGTTATTATTTGACTATTTGGGTTGAGTTTTAAGCCGAGAGATGTGGTCCGCTCTTGTTAAGCTTCAGAGGACAATATGTCGTCTTTGACAAGTCCCGCTCAAACTCCTT